ATTGGTCATTCATGCATTGCGGCTGCAGTACATACTACCACTACAGACAGATTTTATATTAGAATACGGGTTCTTTCCTCCGGATCTGTACAGTCATTGGATCCAATATATCCAAAACTCAATACTACTATACCGATTGTTAAAACACTACCTTTTGGAGGATACGCATTAATAACTCGAACTGCGAACTCAGGAAAAACTTATGATTTCGCCTTTGATCTTTACGATGAATATGATAAATTAACCGATTATAACTTTCCATTGAAACCTATTGTTGGAAATGCGTATGGCGCTTTTGATATATTGAACAATAATAAGATGATAGTGGCACAAAATGAAACTACCACTTCTTGGAGTCTTCTTTCAATCGAAATACCGCCACTTTCCCATTACAATGGTAAAATGTCTTTAAATTTAATAGCATGAAAATGAAATTGTTTAATTTAATAATAATTATGCTTGTATTTTATAGATACTGGTTATAATAATTTACATGTGAACACAACGTACCCTCGAATAGGTGTTAGTAACCTAGAAGTAAATTCCCTCAGGATTTCCATTACATATCAAGATTCTATCACGCTCAATGATGGCAATTTATATATCTATCAAAACATTGGTGGTACCAAAATGCTTCGACAATTAATTAATGCGAGTACTTGTACCCAATGCAATGTTTCAGGCAATGTCATCACAATTGATGTGCTTAGTTGTACTTTCAGTGATCCGATTGGGAGTTATTATATAGAGGTGGATAATAATTTTATAAAGAGCTTAGAATACAATGAATCTATACTTGGAATTTATCCGAATATATGGACTTTTAAGACAGGTTGATTTTATATAATTGCAATAATTTAGTTATTTAAGACTATTTATTAACATTTGTATTTCATCAATTGATGTTAATAGATGATTTATCGTATAGACCGTGTGCAGGTAATATGATCGAAACTTATAAGGTTGATGGTTATTGAAATGCATAATATTAAACTTATGATTAAATTAGGTGACATCTATGGAACATTGCGACTAACAATCAATGGAACTAATTATTTTCTGGACGACGATGAAAAACATAAATTTTTCGATACTTTGATAAATGAACTTACAGAAAGAATTCCCACAAAGAAAGGAAGATTGAGTACAACTGCACATTATCAATTTGATACATCCGATTCATCGAAAGTTATTATCCCACTTTTTATTAGTGAGACAAGAAATGATAACGACAAAATGACTGCCACATACATATGGGAAAATTTAGACCTGTTAATAAAGAATAAAGAATATACGAATATATTAACAGGATCTACTACAGTTAATCTAGACGAAACTTATGGATATCGCCGAACTAGTAAGAACTATATTTTTTTTGATTTATTTATTCTAGTTTAAATAATTGCTTTTATTTATCTCTTTTTAATAGTGAGCGTATCAGAGTGCTTTAACTTACACAAGACAAAGTTCATTACCATAGCTATTTTTATATTAGCATTCTCAGGAGCCTTGGGAGTGTCTAAGCGTGCTAAAGCCAGAGCCAAAAAGCAAGTCGAAGAAACAGGAAACAAGACAGAATACGAAGAGGTAATAATTTTTCTTTAGTTAAAATATTTAATTTTTAACTACTTTCATGTCTAATATACACAAAAAATATATAGAGCGAAACCTTTATTATTCTCCAACTTGGTATTGCCTTATTTCGTTTTGGCACCTTTACAGCATTTGTTGTTATTGATTCCAAAGCCATCCCACATTTTTTTATACCGAGGTAAGATTTATATATTACTTAATTAATATTAGATAATTATCTATCATTAAATTTATTTTTTTCATATGATTAGCGTAGCATTTTTAGTGATTCCTACAGTAATCAACTTATTTATAGCATTTGGGATATTATTTTCTGATCAGAGCCAGAATGATGATAAAGTTAATGAAAAGGGCGATGTAAAGGGTAATGAAAAGAGTTATCAGAATGATAGTAAAGAGGACGACAAGAATAATGAGTATGAATATGTCACATGGTTTGCTAAACATAGAAGAGTTGCCGTTACGATCGCATTATTATCCGGCATAAATATTGATGTAATGTTAATGTTAAAATCGTGTTTGGCGGGATTTAACATGTTCAATGCGCCATTTAACGATAGATCATTGAAAATAATCTTTTGGGGAGCATGCGCTGACATATTTTTGTCAGATATACCGCAATTTGTTATTCAGGTATGTTTAAAATAAAATAAAATTAATAAATAATATATATTATTTTACTAACATTATGAATTTTATTAGATATTATTCATTACTTATAGCGTCCTACTCGATCCCATTCCAATATTTACCTTAGTATCATTAGGTCTCTCAATACTTTCCAGCGTAATTAGTAAAATTTTCTTTATTAAATTTAGAGCATTTTCGCCTTATTTAAGTCGTTTGACAAAGGAAAAAGATCAAGAGAATGCACGAAGCGCTAATAACGTAATTGAAACGTAAACGGTTAACTAAAATGATGGACAATAGGCTAACGCATTAAATAATTCAGAAAAAAAAATGAATATATTCAAAATTTATACGGAACATTAAGAATAACTTAGCTGAAAATATTATTAGCAATTTATATAAAATTTTATGCAAATATTATTATTATTAAATTTATTATCGAAATATTTATAAGGCGACACCCCCTTTTGGTATTTCCACACTTCTGTAGATCACTTTTTTAACAAAATTTAATCGAAGATATCTCGACAACTACCCAATGAAATTTGGTGAACTTTTTTTTTTTTTATTTGAATCCTATGGTAATTTTTATCGTGGTTTACATTTGATAGACGGTTAAAAATTTTTTCAATGAAATTCTATGAACTTTTTTTACTAGAATTCGTTTCATAGAGATGTTTAAAATTTTTTTTAAAACTTTAAATTGAAGATATCTCGATAACTACCCAATGAAATTCGATGAACTTTTTTTTATTGGAATTCTATGAAACCATAGAATTTAAATAAATAAAAAAAGCCTATCGAATTTCATTGGGTAGTTGTAAAGATATCTTCGATTAAAGTTTCAAAAAAATTTTAATCGTCTAAGCCGCGATAAAAATTTGCCTGACTATGGACAAAGATATCTCAACAATTAACCAGTGAAATTTGTTGAATTTTTTTTTATTGGAATTCTATGAAACCATAGAATTCAAATAAAAGAAAGTTCATAGAATTTTATTGGGTAGTTGTCGAGAATATCTTAAATTAAACTTTTGAAAATGTTTAAACGTTTATCAAAATGTAAGCCGCGATAAAAATTTGCCAGACTTTGATCAAAGTAGTGAGTGATTTGACCCGTCTAAAAAC